ATATGCACTAGATGTTTTAGGACAGCCTTCTTGTATATAAACTGTTTATATACCCTCCCAGGGCAGGGTCTGTCTCCTTCCTCTGAAGCTTTTTTGGGCCCACGACCAGCCCCAAAACAGAATCAATTCACTGTGTTTGTTCACTGACATGAGACAGTCACAACAAGAGAACTATAAAGGCTGCTGTTTCTTTGTCTAACAATCATATTTCTCCAATTAATTGAGCATGTCTAGCGAGTACTCTGTCATTCCCAGGCAGCTATTTAGTGGAAATAAATAAGAGTTACATTTTATTAAAATCTTTCCCCTTTGGGTATAACAGCTTATGTAACTGGAACAGTGAAAAGAGTTCAGTTCTTGCGAATAAGAAAAGAAAGTCATCAAAATCACTCTAAGGGCTTGTATACCTCCCTACTGCAGTGAGTAGTGCCTTATTCCTTGGGAGAAGATATTTGCAAATGGCATATCTGATAAAGGGTTAGTGTCAAACTCAACACCTCAAAACCAAATAACACAGTGAAGAAATGGGCAGAAGACATGAATAGACACTTTTCCAAAGAAGACACCCAGATGGCTAACAGACACATGAAAAGATGCTCAACATCAATCATCATCAGGGAAATACAAATCAAAATGAGATACCACAATGAGACACCACCACACACCGGTCAAAATAGCTAAAATTAACAACATAAGAACAGATGTTGGTGAAGATGTGAAGAAAGGGGAACCCTCCTGCACTGTTGGTGGGGTGTTCTCTCTCTGGAGAATAGACTGGAGGTTCCTCAAAAAACTAAAAATAGAACCACCCTATGATCCAGCAATGGTAATATTAGGTATTTACCCAAATGATGCAAAAATACAGATTCAAAGGGGTACATGCACCACAACAGTCAAAGTGTGGAGAGAGCCCAAATGTCCACCAACTGATGAATGGATAAAGAAGATGTATACACATACATATATATGTATATAAATACATATCTACAATGGAATATTACTCAACCATCAAAAAGAATGAAATCATTGCAATGACATGGATAGAGCTAGAATGTATTATGCTAAGCAAAATAAGTCAGTCAGAGAAAGACAAATACCATATGACTTCACTCATATGTGGAATTTGAGAAATAAAACAGATGAACATACGGGAAGGTGATGGAAAGAGAGGGACATAAACCACAAGAGACTCTTAACAATAGAGAACAAACTGAGGGTTGATGTAGGGAGGTGGGTGGGGGATGGGCTAGATGGGTGATAGGTATCAAAGAGGGCTTGTTATGATGAGCACTGGGTGTTGTATGGAAGTGATGAATCATTGAATTCTACTCCTGAAACCAATATTGCATTATATGTTAACTAGCTAAAATTTAAATATTTTAAAAAAGCCAAACAGTGCCTTATTCCTGTCATTGACAGAACTCACAGTGTGGGCCTCCTGCTGAAAAGTTATTGACTCAAACCTAAAAACACAACAGAAAAATACACACAATATGTTCCCTAAGGACTCTTACTGAGTTTCTGATAAACGTCATTTTTTATCTTCATAAATTACTTTATCTTTTCCTTGAGAATTTTCTAGGTATTCCAAAGGAAAGCCGTAGATGTCAAGATTTAAGTTCTTTACTTACAAATTTCTTCTGATTCATTTTTGGGGAACACATAATGAACAGTCTAACATTTGGAAACAACAGGAGTTTAGGTTTTAGTTACAATAGAAAGGACACACATCTAGCAGAATTCAGTCTCAGGTTTAAAAAAGAAAAGTAGGTCCTTGTCTGTCTGTCCACACTACTTCCACAGGACCCCAGACATCTTGTTTAGATTAATGAAAGTTTGGAAAATTCAGGAAATGTTTTTATAAATCAGTTTATACTTTGTAAGATATAAGCCCAGAGTTTTCACAATCTGATTCTTGGGAGTTACTAGTTACCACGGATGAAATTCCAGAGTGAAAAGGGCACAGGCCCAGAGACCTAGGCTCCATCCCTCCTCTGCCACTCGCCAGCTATGCAACCCAGCAAAGCAAGGCACGCACCCCCCCCCCCCCCCCCNCGCCAGCTATGCAACCCAGCAAAGCAAGGCACGCCCCCCCCCCCCCCCCACCGCCACCCAAAGCAACCTCATTTATACATCCCTGCATGGACTCAGCATGCACATGTCCTGGTCTGGATCCCAAGAGTACAGACATCTGTGATTCTACATCTGCCATTGGAGGGACTCCAAGTCAAGCAGAGGCAACCAGACACAGGAATGACACATTATAACACCCTAAGGGCAAGGTCCGCAATAGAACTGTTTGAGCCCAGGGGAGGGGCAGCTAATGCTTTCTGAGGTGTCTGTGCTGATTTCACAGAGAAGAAAACATCTCAGCTGGTCTTGAAGAAGGGGGGAAGGAGACATTTTCTAGATGAAGGAGACAACAGAATTCCTCACAGGATATCATAAGAGTTCTGAAATGGTTAATAACTAACTGTAGCTGAAGTGGAATTAAGGGAACATGCCAGTTATTTGCCTGTTGGTTCTCAGGCCCACTCTCCTCTCTCCTGCCCTAGTCTGCATCACCAGGTGGGGTGAGGGCTGGCCCCCACAGTGTTTCCTGGGCTCCCTGGCTTTGGCTACGTTCGGCCAATAAGAGACACTGTCGAGAGACTGAAGCATGGGGGAAGGGAGAAGCCCGAGTATTTCTCTCCCATCTCGTGGTGTTGGGCAGTATTTCAAAGTGACTGGGTCTCCTCCATGGCTTTCATCACCACCAGACGGCCTCTGCCTCTGCGGACTGGCTCCCATCAGGCAGGCTGAGAGGGTGGTCCCCAGCCGCTAAACTGTGGAGGGGGTGGGCAGCCTCCCGCCACGACTCATCTCCAAGTTGCCTCACCCCAAGTCTCCTGTTTGGCTTCCCAGCTTCTCTGTGTAAGCGGATTCCTGTGTAACTAAATTCCTGTCAGAAACCCCTAAAAAGGTTGCTGTGAGATATAAGGGTGGGGAGAGAGGGAGAGAGAGGAGGAACATGGTGTGAAAGCCCTTAATGAATGCCAGTCAGGAATTCCAAATTTTACCCCAAGGTTTTGATCTTTTTAGGAATCCTAAACGTACAGGGCAGGCCCACACAAGGAGTTCGGAAAAAGGCTGATATGACAGATGAAGAAGGATGACAATGGTCTGATCCAAAGCAGGGGCAAAGAGAAGCTATGTTTGTGAGGCATTTCTGAGATAAAATGCAGAGATTTAGAAATGGAAGGGCCAAAGGAGAGGACAGTGGAGGGTGACTCCTGGGTTCATCTGATGACACCAGTGGGAGAGGATGAAGGAGAGAAGCAAAGAAGCAAGGATGTGGCTGGGGGCATATCCAGGTTGGGGTCCCTTAGGGACAGCCTTAAGGAAGTGGAGGTGAGTCAGATGAGCTGACATCTAACATCTCTTCCAGAACAAACGATGGGATTCCTAAGAATGGCCACATTTCCTTTGTGGTATCTATAATTGTTTTTAAATTGTCCAAGGCATTAATTTTTTTTTTTTACTTCACAAATAATTCAGCTGTATTTTAGTGATGGCATTTGACATAATAGGTTTTGATCTATGTCAGGAAAGTAAGATGTGGAGAGAGGAGACTCCCAGAGAGACAGCAGTGGGAAAGTTCCTTGGAGCCAGTACTGAAGTCTGCCCTTCCCACTAGTACCTGTGGCTGCAGCGCAGACCTTGGTTCCTCCCCGCTTGGGATTTAACCGGGCTGCTTCCCCCACAGTAACCCCTGTTTAGCCTCACGTGACCCTCCACTCCTTACTAGGTCTGAGATTCTTCCTGCTAAGGACTTCCGGGGCTCAGGGGCTGTTGGTAAGTGTATAGAGGTGCCTGGGAAGGATTTGAGGGTTGTGGGAAAGGCCTACAGCCTTCCCCAAGGCTCCTTTGTAAGGGAGGGTCCTGAGAGCTGCAGAGTCAAAAGAGGCTGCTTTCTCTGACAGGTGGGACTTACAGGGTCAGGTGACAAGGTGGGTGCACAAAGGCTGGGCAGGAGCCTCAGGGTGGTCCTTGAGCCACGGGCAATGGAGGGGTAACACTTCACTGGCCAATGCAACCTGCCAATCACAGGATGGACTGCTAACAGGCAAACTGCCCATTTCTCAGCTCTGTTCAGGCTTCGCCAGAAGCATACAGAGCCGGCTCCCTGACGGATGCTTACATGCAGCAACAGGGGCAGGTGCGAGGATGTTATTCCCCAAACCCACCTGAGAGCCAACAAAGGGTCCTGGGCTAAAGTTAAAGGAGAAGACATGTGGTTAGTAAGGAGGAAAAGTTAAAATGTCAGATTCCAAGATGCAGTGATCGAAGGAGACTGTGGAATCTGTGCCCTGGCTCAGACACACCTTGCTAGAAGGATACGCAGTTCCCTCTCTCAGCCACCAGGCCTTTGAATTCTGAGATTCTGCTCTTCCCAGAAGAGTGGCTACTACCAGGAAAGTGAAAGAAGAAGAAGGAAAAGTGGAAACTAATTTGACAATAAACTATTTGTAAAAAAAAAAAAAAAAAAAAAAAAAAAAGAAGAAGGAAAAGAGGAGGAGGAGGCGGCAGCGGAAGCAGAAGAGGAGGAAGAATAAAGGCATTTTATCTAGTATGTTATCCTCACGGCATGAGGGAGAAGTAAGATGGATTCAAAGTAGTTACGAAAGCCTGCACCTTCAATGGCTCAGAAAGATCTCTCCTTGGAAGACGAAACCCCTTAAGACAACTGCTCAGCCTCAGCTCCAACCCCTGATCTTCTCTTCCTCTCCACTGTTTCCACAGCTTACTTAACACAACAGCAGTCTCATTGCACTGTGACCTCTGGGAAAAACTGGTTTTATTTTCATGAACCTTTCACCATGTAAACTAGACAAAGAGGAAGGGCCTTGGAGAAATACAGAAGTAATGAGGCCATTTTCCATGAGGCGTAACGTGGGAGGGAGACCATGCAGAGACCAGGTGACGCCACGACACCCAGACAATTTGCGACAACAGCTCACCAAACCCACCGCCGATCCACGGGACGGCTAGCTTTGGTGTTGCAGAAGCAGAAGCAGTGCGTATTTTCTTTTTCTTTTCTTTGCCTTATGCTCTCCCAGAAGAGGGTTTTCTTGGATACAGGATGAATGATGTGTGTAAGATTTTAATTCCTGTGAAGAGAAGTGGGACTTGTCTCCAAGTTGTCAGGAAAGCCTTGGTTCCTTGTTTTCCTGGGAGTGCAGCAAAGCACTGCTGGTGAAGAGAAGGGGGTCCAAGGGCTGAAGAGCATCCCCTCGCCCCTCCTGGGGCACCCACCTGAATGTGCCCCAGGGCAGCTGCTTCCTGAACACAAGCCTCACTCACAGGGAAACCTCAGAACCATTCGGAGTCCATCTGGCTCAAAGTGATGTTGGAGCAGACCTTTTAGATTTGCTCTCGGAAACTTAGACCAAGAGAAAAAAAAAAAAATTGAGAAAACACTACTGATCTTCCCACATGAAAGCTTCCTCTTTTAGAAGGTCTGACTCCATCTCTCTGCCCCCAGCCTCAGCTCCAACTCTTTCAAAGTCCTCCCTGCTGTCTGGGGTCAGCTCCCGGTGAGCTCCTTGGAGAGAGCGGTCCTCATTCATCCCCAGATTCCCAGAGCAAGCCCTATGCCTGGCACATGGCACTCAGTGTCGGCTAAATAAGGGGCATCTAAGATTAATGTGAGACCTTATTAGAAAAGGGCCATTAGAAGGAGGGCCACGAAGACAACCTAGGACAAATCTGAATGAGACAGACAGAGGGCAAGGGGACAATATGAAGAGATGTGAATGGGACCTAAGGGCTGGAATTGGATCTGGGTCAGGGTTACACTTAGTGAGGCTATGTCTAGCCTCAGAGCCAGCTAGTTTACATGCACAGTCTTGTTTTAATCCTGAGAGCAACCCTATGATGTACATACATCATTAGCATCCCCAATTTATTGAATGAAGAAACTTGGAGAGGTCCTATGGACAGGTAGCAGTAGAGGCCTTCAGGGGATAAGGAGGAGCTGGGGTTCCTCTCTGCTTCTCCAAAGTCTGCCAAGAGGCAGTGTGGTATGCTGGCTACCACCACGGACTCTGGAGGCAACCTGCCTGGGCACAAATCCTGATTCTATCCCTGAATAGCTGTATGACCTCAGGCAAGTTATGTAGTCTCTACGCTTCTCAGTTTCTTCATCTATAAAATAGTGATCATGATAATTGTAATTACCTTGTAGAATCTTTGAAGATTAAATAAGTTAATACCAAACATTAAGGATCAGCTGGCCCACTATTTGTTTTTGTGAATAAAGTTTTATCAGAACACAGCAATGTTCATTTGTGTGCATATTGTCTATGGCTGGTGGGTTTTTTTGCTACCACAGTGGAATTAGGCAGTTGTGCCACAGACACAAAGCCTAAAACATTTACTATATGGTTCTTTACAGAAAAAGTTTGCTGATCCCCCACCCCCACCCCTCATGAAGAGCTTATATGGTGGACAGAGGAAGTGCTGTGAAGGCTATTATTATTATTATTATGACGCATTTGCCTCAGAGTCCCCCCTCACCCTCAGCCCCACCCTGAGGATGACCTGACTACCTGCCATGCGGGGCACTGTTTCAGGCTCTAGGGGGCTGGGGAGGAACAAGGTAGAGAGGATCCAAGCCTGCCCCTGTGGGGCTTACAACCTCATGGAGGAGAGCGACAAGGGAGTAACAAACTGTGGTAAGTCCTTTGAAGAAAATAAACAGGATGCTGAGATACAGAAGCAGGAGCAGCTGTCAACGGGAAGGGCCCACAGAGGAGGGGATACTTGAACAGCAAGGGGAGGATGGGAAGGAGCAAATGTGAGGAGTTGCAGGCAGAGGGGACAGCAAGGGTAAGATCAGTTCTGGGAAAGGCCTTGCCATGTTCAAGAAACAGAGAGGCCAGTGTTGCCTAATGTCAGGGACAAGAGGAAGAGCAGCAGGAGACAGGGCAGGAGCCAGATCACATGGGCCAGGTCGCCCACGGGAAGGAGTCAGGCATGTTCTGAGAACAGAGCAATGGAAAGCAGCATGAGTACTTTCAGGAGCCAATGGCAGTGTCTGCTTTGGAGCCTAAAAAGATTCTGGGTGCTGCACGGGGAATGAACTGTGAGGCCGGGGGCAGGGGCAGGGTGGTCAGGAGGCCGATCTCTACGTGGAGACACTGCAGCCACCAGGGAGAGATGACACAGAACTGAACTATGGTGGTGGCAGGGAAATGGAGCAAATAAGTGACTGAATATGAAGCTTGAAGGCAGGGAGGCTGATGCCAGGATTTGGGCCTCAAAACCTGGGGGGAGGTGGCGCTGTTCAAGGAGGTGGGGAAGAATGAGAGTTTGCAAAAGGAGGGATATCAGGAGTCATTTGGGACCAGAGGGATAGAACCTCACACCTTTTCCTGAAGACATCCCTGCATGTAGGAAAAAATGACCTCAACCACTCCCCAACACCTCTACCCCTCGCCCCATGAAACTTGCCTAAATAGTTGATTTTCTTCCTACATTTTTTCAGGCTTGTGTGTGTTCCCTCACTCACTGGTTTTCTGCAAATGCCCTTTGCTTTTGCTGTATCCCTATATTCCTACCCCACCCCGGTCCCCTTGTCCAGGCACAGAAGTGATAGTGATAAATGACAGTTCTGATCACAGAGTTGAGTCCTGAGAGCCCATTCACCCCTCAAGCCCCCACTGTGCTGTCACCTACAGTCAGCACTCCTATTGAGGCTCAAATCACAACTATACCCTTAGAGGTGGGCACAGCACCTAGCTGACTCATCTTCACTTATATGCATAAGTTGTACCCATTTCCATGATTTCTCCAGATACCACCCCCTCCCGAACACAGGGTGCTGCTCTTGTTCATCAGGGACCCTTCACTAAACTAACTGCTCTCTCTCCACCCAGAGCTACCTTTCTGTTGTCATTTTTCTCATTTCTCTATTTCCTCCTCCAAACACATTTTCCTCCTCCCTTCACCCAATGCATTATTCTGCATTCATGCTTACACTGGACTGTCTCCCACTAAACGTTCATTCATTCAATCACTTTGTGTAAATCATTCCCTTGCTGAGAACCTACTGCATGCAGACACTGAGAGGGAAACAGAAATGCAGCACGGTGGGGTGGATTCTCCCCACCCGACGCCCCCACCAAGCAGCACCTGCATGGGCCATTTAGCCCCCTCCCCTCCCTTCCATTTCTGGCTCCAGAAGTGCCTGGAGACCTGTGTCCCCCCTATGGTCCCACGGGCACGTCCCTGCAGCCTTGCCTGCTCTCCTAGTTCATCTGTACCCTGCACTTGAACAAGCTGGGGGGGCCCTAAATCATCTGAGTGTTAGCGGGGGGATGGGGAGTGAGTAGGTAGTTTGGAAACGCATATTGTGTTAGTTCCATGACCTAAACTGTAATCACACAATCAGACCTGCTGATTAGTCTGTCCTAAATCATCGCCCTCCTGCCCTTTATGTGGCATTTGGTACTTCCTCCTTGAAACCCCCTGATCCCTTGGCCCTGATCCTTCCCCCTACAACCAACCACACTTCTGCAGGCTCCATGCAGGACTCCCCTGAGACTGGGTCAGCCTCTGTCCCTCATTCTTCCCAGAGTCTCACCTCCCCTCATGGGAAAGGCCTCCTCATCCCAACGGGACTTATTTCCAAATGTGGGTGGGGATCCCTACTTCATCACATCCTGGGCTGTCAGCTCAGCCTCACTGCTGTCTCGCCCTCTCTCTTCCCAACCATCCTATTTTCTCATGAAGACAGGGAGACTGAGATTCCAGTGGCCGGGCAGGCAGAGCCACACGGCAGTTTGGATACATGACCAACAGACAATGGTTTAGATAAGGCTGAGAATTTAGAAGCCTTCGCCTGCCCCATCCCTCTTCTTGGCCCAAGGGTGCTCCGAGGAAAGGGGAGAGACCTGAGACCACCCTAGACAGGCTGCAGAACAGACATGCCAAGCCACCTTGGCCTGATCTTTTAGCGACTTTTAGCTACCAAAGGCCAACATCGTTCTGGCCATGCTTCATCTCCCACACATGCTCACGCACAACGGCCCCTGTGCTGGGTTCACATCTCCAAAGCTGACCACAGATGTGTGACACACTGCCCACTGCCTCAGGGCTGGGTGAGGCTGTGGCTGGGACATGAGCTGAGGTTCTGTGAGAGGCAGACAGAGCAATCCCTCTTGATCAGCGGTGAGGCCAGCTCTGGCCCCGGTCCCGGGAGGAAGCAGATGGGACAGAGATGGCCCTCTCATCCCAGCTTGAAGGGAGAAGCTTCCTGAAGTCTATTCCAGGCGCACCCCAGACACCCTGCCCACACACAGGTGGGCGTCCTAGAATCCTGCTCACAGAACGCTACAGACAACACTGGGCATACACTGCTCATACAACACTGGGCATCGGGATCTTGAGATCAGGACAGCAGAAGAGGGAGAGAAGGAAGGGAGCCCGGGGGGGGGGGGGGACCCAAGAAAGAATTTGAAAGAATGGCTTTTCCTCCCCAAAATTGAGCCAGTCAATTGTGAAAGGGCTTAAGAGCTGAGGTGGCCAATGCTGTCACAACTTTTTAAAAACAGTGAAACTCACCAAACCAAGTCTCATGCAGAAATATCAGTAAAGAAAAAAGTGTACAGGGGCGCCTGGGTGGCTCAGCTGGTTAAGCGTCCAACTCTTAATTTTGGCTCAGGTCATGATTTCCCAGCGTTGTGGGATAGAGGCCCTCGATGGGCTCTGCTTAAGACTCTCTTCCTCTCTCCCTCTGTCTTAATCCCCTTTTGTGCTCTTTCTCTCTAAAATAAAATAAATAAATAAATAAATAAAAAGTGTACAGAGGAACTATTTTGGTTGAAGCAAGGCCTGTTGGGCTTCCTGCAATCTATCCCCCTCCGGCAACTTTTTTTGGGCGATCTTAGGGGTTCCACAGTTTGCTTTTTCAAGATAATGATAATAATAACACCACTGACACACACTGGTACTTAGTAGTTTCTATTTTTTACATACAACATCATACCCAGTCCTTGCACTAACCCTGTGGCAATATCATCACATTTCTGATGAAGTACCTGAGGCCCCGAGCTGTCAATCAAATTCCCCCAAATCGCACAGCAGGCACATGGTAGTGCAGGAATGTGAATCTAGGCCTCCTGACACCACGTCCAGTGCTAGAGGGAAATGCACCACATCCCAAACAACACCAAGACAGAGGTCTCGGTGAGAGCCAGGACAGTGACGAGGCCAGCTCTGGACCCAGACCGCTGGGTTCCATTCCTTCTGCCATTCACTTACTTATGTCCGCTTTTCCTCATCTAGGAAATGGGACAATAGTAGCTGCCTCTAAGGCTTGGAGCTAAGATTGAAGGTGTTAAGGGGCACCTGGGTGGCTCAGTCGGTTAAGCGTCCAAC